AGAGAATCTAACAGATGCACAGTGAAGAAAATAAGTACTTGAACACCCTGCTATTTTTCAAATTCTCCCACTTAGAAATCATGGATGGGTCTGAAAATTGTCATTTTAAGTGCATGTCCACCTAATCCAGAAATCACAACATATGATTTTTTTTTATGTATTTATTTGTATGATAAAGCTGCAAATAAGTATTTGAACACCCTTCTATCAGCTAGGATTCTGACCCCCAAAGACTTGTGATTCTGCCTTCATAATGTCCACCTCCCCTACCTTTATTATCCAAAATTAGATTCACCTGTTGAGGTAGTTAGCTGCATAAAGACACCTGTCCTACCCCGAACAATCAGTAAGAATCCAACTTCTTACCAAATACACTAGAGACAAAATTGTACACCTCTACAAGGCTTGAAAGGGCTACGAGGAAATAACAACCATTCTTGGAGCAATCATTAGAAAGTGGAAGAAGCTACACATCACTGTCAATCTCCCTCAGACTTGGGCTCTAAGCTAGATCTCACTTTGTGGGGTCTCAATGATCCTTAAAAATGTGAGAAATCAGCCCAGAACTACACAGGAGGAGCTGGTCAAGGACCTGAAAAGCGCTGTGATCCCCGTTTCCATGGTTACTGTTGGTAATACGCTAAGATGTCATGGTCTGAAATCAAGCGTGGCACAGAAGTTTCTCCTGCTTAAACCAGCATATGTGAAGGCCTGTCTTAAGTTTGCCAATGAACATTTGGATGATCCAGAGTAGTCATGAGATAAAGTAATGTGGTCAGATGAGACCAAAATAGAACTTTATTGTCATAATTCCACTAACCTTGTTTGGACAGAGAAGAATGATGAGTACCATCCCAAGAATACCATCCCTACTGTGAAGCATGTGGGTGGTAGCATCATGCTTTGGGGGTGTTTTTCTGCACATGGCACAGGTTGACTGCACTGTATTAAGGAGAGGATGACTGCGGCCATGTATTGCGGAATTTTACGGAACAACCTCCTTCCCTCAGTTAGAGCATTGAAGATGGTTTAAGGCTGGGTCTTCCAACATGACAATGACCCAAAGCACACAAATAGGATTAACAAGGAGGGGCTCTGTAACAAGCATATTTAGGTTCTGGTGTGGCCTAGCCAGTCTCCAGAATCTTTGGATGGAACTCAAACTCCGTTAGTCTAAGCGACTGCCCAGAAACCTGACTGATCTAGAGAAAATCTGTGTGGAGGAGTGGGCCAAATTCCCTCCTGCAATGTGTGCAAACCTGGTAAAAAACTGCAGTAAATATTTTACCTTTGTAATTACAAACAAAGGCTACCGTACCAAATATTAACATTGATTTTTTTTTAGGTGTGCAAATACTTATGTGCAGCTGTACCATACCAATAAATAGTTTAAAAAAATCATACATCGTGATTTCTTTTTTTTTTTTTTAGATCATACTCTCACAGTGGACATGCACCTTTGATGACAATTTCAGACCCCTCCATGAATTCTAAGTGGGAGAACTTGTAAAATAGCAGGGTGTTCGAAATACTTTTTTTCCTCACTGTATCTGTTTGTAAAACATAACAATTAAAGAAATAAGAGGTGAGAAAACAGGGGAAAAAAAGGATTTTGAGAGAAATCTCTAAAATGTAAAACTAATTTGATCTCATTTGAATAATCAAAAATGATAGCTGATAAAAGTAGAATTATTTTTACTTAGTGTTTCAAATAAAAAATAAATATAAGATCCACAATAAAAGTAATTTTGAATAAAAGGGATTTTTATGTTATAATGGGTTGTTTAAAATAGTTTTGTCAATAAACTTATGCATTGTTCTTGCATCACCCAGGATATTCACAGATTATTTTCCAGGTAAGAAAGTCATCAGGGGCACATATCATCTACCTAACCTGCACCCCCTTTCTTCTAAAGCCCCCAGGATTTGTAGCATCAACGTCATAGAAATCCTGGGTCATTCATCAGCATTCTTCCCCATTACTCTGGAAGCCCCATTACAATCAGCCAAAGAGAAACTGCATCACATTTCAGTCCAGAGGGTGGCAGTGATAGGAACCTACAAATGGTTATTGATTGAACTTTAGTGTCAACAAGCTATAACTAAATAACTAAGCTAAAAAAGGCTGATAATACATTTTTTGTTATCCTGCATGTGTCAAGGTTTGCTGTTTAAGTCACTCGAAAAAAAACACTAAAAACTAATTTATACAGTTATCTTTTTTGTAATCACTGTTTGAAAATCAGATATCAACAGCACAAACAGAGAACCTTTTTAATCAAAATGTTATTTGTTGAAGTCCGTGTTCAGATAAACATATTTATATCAGGTAGAAGTTTTAGACAAGCCAATAGACAGCATCCAACTCGTCATCTCTGTTGTCAGCACAGAATTATGAAAATGATGTGTATGCAGAGATGTATTTCAACGTTATTCTCTACTAAGGAAAGGAATATCACATTAAATCATTCCAGATTTTTATATATCCCCAATTCACGATACACAAACAAGATCTATAAACAAAGTTGTTGAAGGTAACATTTCTCTGCAGGATGGTGTCACAGCCAAACATATAGATAAAGCAAAAATGATAAGAAAAACTTTGGCATAGATAGAATAGTCTAAGCGTATAGTAGCATATCTATAGAAATAGCTCAGGATAACCTGAGCCACTCTAACTATAAGCTTTATCAAAAAGGAAAGTTTTAAGCCTAGCCTTAAAAGTAGACAGGGTGTCTGCCTCACNAACCTGAGCCACTCTAACTATAAGCTTTATCAAAAAGGAAAGTTTTAAGCCTAGCCTTAAAAGTAGACAGGGTGTCTGCCTCACAGACTAAAACTGGTAGTTGGTTCCACAGGAGAGGAGCCAAATAACTAAAAGATCTGCCTCCCATTCTACTTTTAGAAATTCTAGGATATACTAGTAAACAGATTGAGAGTGACTTGCTCTGTTAGGAACATAAGGAACAAGAATATCTCTGATGAAAGATGAGTTTAGCCATTTAGGGCTAGAAAATGGTTGGATGGATCGGAGCATATATATAGTAAAGAGAATTGGTCATAGCACTGATCCCTGTACTCCATAGGTAACCCTGGAGCATGAGGAAGATTTATCATTAACGTGAACAAACTGAAATCGGTCAGATAGATAAAATTTAAACCAGTCTAGTGCTGTTCCTTTAATTCCAACAAAATATTCAAGTCTTTCTAAAGGAATATTTTGGTCAACTGTATCAAATGCAGCACTGAGATCTGACAGGACAAGCACAGATACAAGTCTATTATCTGAGACCATGAGAATATCATTAGTGACTTTTACCAGAGCTGTTTTTAGTGCTATGACTAGCTCTAAAGCCAGACTGAAACTCTTCAAAAAATTCATTATGGTGTAATTGATCGCACACTTGTTTGGCAACTACTATCTCAAGAATTTTAGATAAGAAAGGAAGATTGGGTATTGGTCTATAATTGACCAAGTCATCTGGGTCAAGACACAGTTTCTTAAGCAAAGGTTTAAATACAGCAACCTTAAAAGCCTGAGATACATATCCATGTAACAGATATAAATTAATCACATCTAAAATGGAGGAGGAGATCAGAGGATATACTGCCTTAAATAACCTAGTTGGAACTTTATCTAACATACAAGTTAAAGCTTTAGATAAAGGCAATACTTTTTCTAACTCTGAAAGTTTATCTGGATCAAAGCAGTCTAAATGCAGCTAGCTAGCTACCTCAGATGCTGCCTCACCTTCCAGAGATAAACCAATGATAGTTAGAGGAGTGCCAATGATCTTTTTTTTAACAGAATCAATCTTATTAATAAAGAATTCCCATAAAATCATTACTGCAAAGAGCAGAGGGAATAAACAGTTCTACAGAGCTATGGCTCTGTGTGAGTTTGGCAACTTTATTAAAAGGAAATATACGATTATTCTTATTCTAATCTATTATCTATGAGGAGATGAGGAGAAATACGATGCTCTTGCTTTACGAAAGGTCATCCTATACAGTAGTAAACTATTTTTGCAGACTATGGAGGATTCGTGTAGGCATGTAGAGCGCCATTTTCGCTCAAGTTTCCTAGAATTTTGCTTCAGAGTATGCAGCTCTGCAGTAAATCAGGGAGCCAGCTTTCTATTCTAAAGTTTTTATTTTTCGAAGTGGATGCATTGTCCAAGGCAGCAGAGAGAGAACTAGCAACCCCATCAACAAAATCATCAACCTATGAAAGGGAATAAACTAAACTTTTGCCCTCTGCAGCACTGCGCAGCAACACAGAGGACAGAGAAAGGAAGACAGATTATTTAAAATGTATGACTGCATTATCTGTTATTTGATCTGCCAGAGTGAAACCCTTTGGGGGAGGAGAACTCTGTATTAGTGATGTTGAGGGTTATTAAAAAGTGGTCCAAGAGGAGAGTGTTGTGAGGAAATACTGTTATTTCTTCACATGCAATGCCATATGCAAGCACTAGGTCCAAAGTATGAAGTTGAGAATTATTATTCACATTTTGAACAAAGCCAAAAGCGTCTGATAGCATTAAAGGCTGTATTTAAGCTATCACCTTCAATATCAGCATGGCTGTTAAAATCCCCCACTATGATGACCTCAAAGTCATTCAGTTTACTGATTGTTTTCTGCTACTCTATTGTTTATAATGGTAGTTTGTAAAGTGTTTATGTATAATTATTACCAATTCAGGCATTTGCCTTTGACTAGAGTATCACATTATTATTTGAAATTTGAAAAATATAATTATTAACTATATTTACAATTACATAAAATAACTGATTGATCCGTTTGCTCAAAAGGAAACTATTATAGTTGTAACTTGATCTCATAAACTAGACAACATGCTGTGATGGAACTTTAAGGAAGGAAACTATTTGGGTTTTCTGAAATTCCATCTAAAGCCACACCTTTAACACGCTTGAATGATAAGAACAGGAAATACTTGCATTTTCAACAGACTTGTACAGGTTACACTCAGCTCTAATCCTACCATACACAATGAGGAATCTCATATTACTGCTCATGGTCGTCTGTGTGGCTCATACAGGTAAAATCTATTATATATATATATATATATATATATATATATATATATATATATATATATATATATATATATATATATATAT